GGAAACGAGTGACAGGAAGCTTTGTGATGTTTCATAATATCCCTTTTCGTTCCGATATTCTTCACCACCTTTAACAGGAAACATTCATTTGTGCCGTTCATATAAAGGGATTTCTTTGCATTGCATTTGGGAAGAATTTTATGAGAAGAAATATATTTACGTATTGCAATGCTTAAAGAAGATTTGCTGCATGATATTAAACCGTCTAGGCTGAGAGATTTCGAGAATCAATGGTTGCCGTTTACTCACTGCAGTCGACATTAATACTATTATTACTTCTATTGTCAGGGGTGTGCGATAGACTTACCTTTACGTGGTGCACCCTGGGCAACGTTTATTCATACGGCAAAAAGTCTATTGACTGGCAGTTGACTTCTCACTTCAAACTACCATCACCTCACTATGCCATATTCGAACATTTACACAGTACTCACCTCACCTTTGTTCTACGTTTGTGTTTGTCTCTTACATCTTTGAAGCACTCTTCTGTTCCTCCCCTGTCGACTTCTTGATTTGATGTTCCTTCCGTTCTGTGAAGCCTGAAGTCAACTAAAGGGCTACTGATAACCATCAAGTGGCCTGCCATTTGATATAAATAAACTTCTATTATCATCATAATTATTTCTCTTGGAAACTAGCAATGAGACTTCTCTGGCTATACTTTCACAGTTTACATGAATTTTATCGTAATTCATGAAATGGTCTCTTAAATTGAAGAAAAAAGTAACATCGACATATAGGTTGTTAGGAATATAGGTGGAATTAATCAAACTCTTGTCTAAAGCAGGTTTTTCACTTATTTCTACTACAACGAATTATTACTCAATGCTCTTTGGTTGCCATTCTAAAATTCGATCTACAAATTTCTCTATCACAACACATTCGTAACGATTTGTGCCTTTCCCCAATCGACTAAATTTGCCGTTTGATGCCCACACATTTGGCCCCATTGGTGATATAAACCAGATGCTTTGCTCAAATAGAGCCTCTTCCATCTGCAGAGATTCAATTGGGTCATTTCTCCACCAGAAGTCGAAAAGGCTCAATAAAACACAGCGATGTAGTTGGAAACAGTTCACTGACTGCTTTACAATCGGGCCAATGTCTTCAAATGTAATCTCTCTCAAGCTTGAATCATTCAATAACTTGGAAGTATATGAAAATCAAATGAGTTAAAAAATTTAACAATTTATAAGCACCAGCATCATTGGGTATCAACCAGTGCCACAAACCGCAGCGATTACTTACCGTGATTTTGATGTGCATGGGAATCACTGTGAATGGATCGATTCAGATGAAAGCATCAGTAGCAAAACTCCGAAATCACCTGTGGAGACTAGAAGTGTACACCAAGAATACTGTTGACCTGTATGTGCAGAGCAATGCTTCAATCGAAAATCTTGAATGCGAATCATTATTACGGAAAATAGGGTGTGCGATAGACTTACCTCCATGTGGCCCACCCTGGGAAGCGTATACTCATACGGCAAAATAGTCTATTAACCGGCAGTTGACTTATGACTTTCAACTACTATGACCCCGTTGCACGTCGTATTCCACCGTCCCTCTCAGTACTCACCTCACCTTACCTTTTCTCTACCTTTGTGCCCATCTGTCTCTTCAACATCTGTAAATCACTTTTCTCTTCCCCCCTCTCAACTTTTTGTGATTGATATTCCTCCTCTCTGTGAATCCCGAAGTCAACTTAATGGATAATGATGACTATCATTAAGCCTGCCATTTGATATAAATTAATATTACAGGAAGTTTAGATTTGGTTGCTTGCATATAATTGGGCTTAGTTAATGTAGCATGAACGTTGTGAAAAGAGTTTTAAAACCTAAATCTGTTTAAGATCACTATGAGATAATGGAATGGGCAATCTAGTTCTCATAAGATTATAAAATAAGCAATTTTACTGTTGATTATTTACTCATGTGGAAATGAGCTTAGACTACCTTCTTAACCGAGTACTTAAATAGAAACCGATAATATGAAATGAGCATCCTAAATGTAAATGAATTTTTCTAGAAAGTTTTGATTTGATTGTTTGTAAATAATTTGCAAAGTAGTTGTAGTAGCATATTACTCTTCATAATTTTACCATCATTTAAAGCAACGTGAACGTTGGGAATTAAATTGGAGCGCTTAAATCCGATTAAAAGTGCTGATCACCGTGAGATAACGGGAGGAGTAATCTTTTCATAACTAGAGTATAAAAGGCCAGGAAATAAAGTTCCAATCGGAATCTTCATTAAAATACGTTGAGATGATTGCTGTCATCGTTCTGATGTCTTTGATTACCCTCGGATTCTCTGATCGTAAGTTATCATACACGTATTTAAAACCTAATGGATTGTGAGTTACTGGCTTATTGGTTGGTGCTGCATGTTTAAGTACTTTTAAAACAAAGACTTTTGTGTATTTAATGACACTGAAAGGCAAAGGGAGACTTGTCAAATCTTAGAAATGAACCGAAGTATGCATCCGGATAGCAAAGCAAATAACATCGACTTATATTTTACTAATTTCTGATCATTTTAAAGCTTGCTCGATGCCTATTGAGGGTGGACCGTGTCGTGGGTTCTTCCCATCTTGGGGTATGGATGCTGCTAATGGTGAATGCGTGCAATTCATCTACGGAGGTTGTCGAGGCAACGAGAATCGATTCGAGTCGAAGGAAGCGTGTGAGGAGACCTGTGGAAATCTTGATGGTAATTGCTATTTTTATAGCCTTGTATTCTGTATTTCATCGTGTGAGACCCCTGAAAATAGAAGTAATGGATGGTTTAATCTTCAAATGTACCTACCTTAACATAGCCATTAGTGGTGAAGAATTTTTCCACTTCCTATTGACTATCTCTGTCAATATTCACAGTTCTTTTGAGAATAATACTTACATTCAATAGGAGAAATGAAGTCAGATATGAGTTAAGTAACTTTGTATAAATATCACCATTTCAACTCCTTTCGCGAGCCAACTCTTCAACAACCGCAACTTAATCTACAGTGATTCGGTTAATTTATAAGTACGAAGTCAATTTGAAGGGGCTATTCATTTCAATGATCAATTATAATGATGTGTGAGAATTTGAGAGAAATCGGATCACGTTGGAAATTTAGAATTTCGATGCATTCAGATATATTATCTGAGAGAAGTCATTTCGCCCATCACTGCACAGTTAGCATTTTTCTTATTTTCAATTAACAATTGGTATTAATCATTTTCCAATCTTGTACTTTTCAGATTACCCAGAGGAGAAGGAGGTGAACGCTTGCGATTTGCCATTGGAGACTGGGCCATGCCGTGGAAAGTTTATAAAGTGGGGCAAGAACTCAAAGAGTGGCAAATGTGCTGAGTTCATTTATGGTGGCTGTGGTGGAAATTCAAATAATTTTGACACAGAAGAAGAATGTGAACGGACCTGCATTCATGTATAAAGATGGTTATGAACATATTCTTGACAATTTGAATAACGAACAGGTTTGTTAAAATCTATTAACATCTACATGTACTCCAAAAAATGCATGCTGTTTTTCCGGAAGGAGGTTTAATATGTCTCCTTTTAAAAATCTCAACATTTTGACCAATATCATGCATTTTTTGCGCAGTTGGCTAGGTCTTCAATGATTCACACTTTGTTGTTTTAGGTTGTGAGATACAAAACTTCTCAAATGTCGGAAACAGTGATTCTCAAGTGCAGCCGTTTGAGTGGGGTTGTGCTAGAGTGGGGGTATCTCACATGAGCAGTCTCTTGGCAATCGACCTCTTTCCGATTTCATTATTATGACGAAACTTCTCAAAGCTATTTGGAAATTATCTTGATATAAATGTGGGGAGCTCTGGCAAGTAGAAAATGAACTTGAGGTTGGAGAGAAAGAAAGTGACATATAAGGCCGATGAAGCACACATAACTCTATTGATAGCGATTTGAGTCTGATCCCAATTCATAAAGTATAATTTGTGTCCGCATTGTCTATTTCTTGTGGACTCCAAGGCCAGTATCTTATGATCCTAATGCATAATTTGCTCTAGTTATTCTTTATCAAACGAAAAAATCTGTCAAATAGACAAGGGAACCAATAGTCTTCCAGGAATCGAAAGAGAAAGGCAGGAGCGCATTGGACACCCACAAGGGTTGCAGAAGAAAGAGTGGGGGAACATCGCATTTTCATGGTAAGGTAATACGGGAAATCGACGTAAGAAAAAGTTGCTTATAGGGAGTTGAGCAGGAAATTTGAAAATGAGGATTGTGACTCTCATTAAGGATTGCGGGATTGGTATGGGTCACCAGCTTAAAGGAAAGCTAATTAAATGAGTTGAACATGGAATAAGAAGACAGTTATTTGGGGTGAGGCTTGGGGAGGGATTGAGGTGACTGGATAGTTAAAGCTGTTGAGGGTCTGACAAGGGGGCCAATTAATGTTAGGACATGAAGACTGTTTATTTTGATTAAATTTTGTGCGTGCTGTGGTTAACGAGTAGTGAAGTTTATTTATATCAAATGGCAGGCGTTTTGATAGTTATCACTAGCCTTTTTGTTGACTTCAGGCTTCACAAAGGGACGGAACATCAAAGTAAAAAAGTCTAAAGGAGGGGGAGGGGTACAGAAAGGTGTCTCAAAGGTGTAAAAGAGACAGACACAAAGGTAGAATGAAAAGTTGGAGTGAGTAATGTGGAAAAAGTCGCATATGATAGCAGTTTGAAGTGTGAAGTCAAGTGCCGGTTAAAAGATATTTTTGCCGTATGAGTATATATTGCCAGGGTGCACCACGTGGAGGTAAGTCTATAGAACACCTCACTAGCAGT